TACGTGAGGATTTCGGTGGGATTCTGCCTGGCTGTAAAGAACAGCATCTTTTTGCTGAAAAAGTGCAAATCCTTGTACTTTTTCTGTAGGGATGGCACTTTGGGGGAAAAAAAATAAAATGATTTTGTTTTAAATCTGAACTTGTTCATTGGATTAAAATTTGGTGGGTTTTTTTGTGTCGCACAAATTGGAAGAGGGATGTCTGTCTTTGGAAAGCACCTGGGAAATTTTCAGCACCACTGAACATAAATATTAACTATAATCTAAAATTGCCTAGAATATGAGATTTTAATGAGAGTGTTTTCCACTTGTACCACAATTATGATTTTCATTGATGTCAATAAGTGGCACTCATAGGATGAGTGTATAGTGCGCTGATAAATACTGGTAATTTATTAACATCACCTGTCTCTTCACAGATTCCCTGAAAGTGGACAGCAGCTTTCTCAAAATGCTTCATTGTTTGAAGCTGACTGTTTTTTTTCCCCCAGGAATTGATTCTTGGTGTGGAATGGAAAACCATTCCTGAATTACCTTGATGTGAATAGTTGAATTTTGTTCCCTGTTCCCCAGTTCTGTGAGATACTTGGCTTGTTTCTGTTCCTGATTGGCTCTTTGAGCAGCCATTGTGAAATATCTGTTGTTTGGAAAGCTTGAACATTAACGTGAAACTTTCACAAAAATTTACAGACATTAACCTCAATTACTAGGACATTCAGATTATAAATAACTTACAAAATAAGTAATACAATATGCATACTGATTTCTGGTATGCAGAATGTGCACACACACACTTGAAATAAATTCCATTTACAAATTCAAAAAAAAATTCTGTGTTTCCTTCCTTGTGAATTTTAATATGAAATTGTGTAACAAACAAGTGCTTGGTTGTTGGGTTTGCCGTAATAAATCATCAGTCTGTTTACAGGGAAATGAAGTCCTCTTATTAGTTTTCCTGACACTTGACTGACAGGGAACAAGGGTCCCCTCTTGAAAAGTACCAGTGAATAAAGATCCTGACATAATATTTTATGGTTGATAATGAGAAAAATTTGCCTTCCTTCCTGGGTGCATATTTAGAAAATGTAAGGGCACAGTTTATAAGCTAAAGGCCTTTTGGGGCAAAATTGAAACGGCTTTAAAAAAAGTGTTAAACTTTTCTGTGCAAAGGGTCAGTACAACTGTACCACTTCAAATCCCATGTCACCCTTGTAAACACTGCACAGTTACACTTTGCATAGGTATTGTGCTGGATTTCACCCATAGTGAATGCCTAAGTACAGACATTCAAAAAGCCTGAAGCAAAGGCCAAGGCATCCAAAGTTAGGCTGGGAGGGAACAGAACAGATGTTGGACCTTGTTGAGGGTGGGGTGGATGGTGCAGGATGCCTGCAGTGCCTGAGTGTCCCCAACCTGCTGGCCTCTTGCATGCCTCCCAGCAGAGCTGCCTCTATTTTCCCCTCTTCCAGAGACCCCTGCCATGCGCCCTCTCCACCTGCCCCGCCAAGCTGTGCTGGCTGCAGTCTGGGGTGGCTGTCATCAGGGTTGGCAGGGAGCAGGACAGGGGCTAAACCCAAGAAACCAGTGACACTAAGACATCAGTGACCTGAGACAGTTGTCCCCCAGCCCCCGTGGGCATATCTGCCACATGTGGAGGGCAGGGCATTGGGGGTGTCTGAGCCTGGCTGCAGTCACACCCATGCCCCCAAGATATGGCGGGCAGGGCCCAGCACTGGGCAGCTTCTGGGCTGGCAAAGGCGCCAGGACAGGGGCAGGTGTGGCTAGGAAGTGCAGCAAGCAGTGAGCATGCAGGGCTGGGGATGTCACGAACACACATCTCCAGGGGCAGGGCAAATCAATGGGCCCTAGTCCAAGATGCTGAGCCTCTCATTGCAGACAGTGGTCTGCTGCTGCCCACCTTGTGCTGTCCAGGCAGCCATCTCTGCCCTGCCTTTCCCACCTGGCTAGAGGAGGATTGCCTGGCCATCTCCAACCTTACCCACTTCAATGGGCAGGGCAGAGCCAGCTGCCCAGGTGGTGCTGCAAGGTGGCCAGCAGCAGAGCACAGTCCACGTGGTGCAGCTTGGCATCCTTGGAGCTGGGTCCTATTGCTTTGCCCCTGCCCTTCCCCCAACCCTGGGGGTGTGCATTAGTGACAGTCTGGCTCCACGAGCCTGCAGTCTGCTACACCTTCGAGCCATACCTACCCCTGCCCCCAGTGCCTCTGCCAGCCCAGGAGCTGCCCAGCACTGGGCCCTGCCTGGCATGTCTCAGGGCATGTGTTTGGCTGCAGCTGGGCTCGGATACCCTCAGTGCCCCAACCTCAGCAGCACAGGATGGATCTGCCTGCTGAGCCAAGGCAGGCTGGGGGGTGAGGGGGTCCCAGGTCACTGGTGTCTTGGGTGTAGCTCCTGTCCCACCTTTTGCTTCCCTTCACCCCCCCCACCCAAACCCCAGAGATGGCACAACTGGGGTGGGTTGGCATGCAGAGGGGTCTCCCCCGCCCCCCACCCTACTGTTGTGACAGCTGTGGGCAGGAGGTGGGAATTTGTGAGCGTCCAGGAGCAGCTGAGCACTAGCCTTGGCTCCCCAGCCTCCCTGCAAAGAAGGGTTGGCAGGGGAGCCACAAAAGTTCCTCGGGGGCCTGCAACCTAAGTTGAATCTGGAGGGGATGTGGTGCAGAAGCGAGCCAATGGGAGACATGTTTCTTGTTCAGTCTCACTAGCAGCACTGAGAAAGTGATCTTGAAATACAAAAAGGTAGCTACATTCAGATATTAATTCAGAAGTTAGAAAATTAATAGGTTCTCTTTTGTTTCAACTTACTGTGCTGCTTTAAAATATGGGATGGCTGCCCGGAAACTGTGACATGAAGCTTTGAATTCCTAAACCCTCTAAACCACTTAGAAAGCATTGGTTCTCATTTTCAGAGCATTTATGTAACTATAAAGCATAGTCTCCCTGACATTGCTTTTACGTTTTCCCTGGAGATTTTCCTGCTTACATACTTCTCACTTTTCTGCAGCACAGTGATTACACCATTGCACTTTAGTAATCATTTAACAGCTCAAATTACAGAATACTCTGATCCTGGCTGTGTACTTTGTCCTTTGTCCTTTCTTTGTCTGTACTTTTTTGCCATCATGGTGTCGAGAAGTTCTCCAGTGAATATATCTTCTTTAGTCTTGCAAAAATAAATTCCAGAGACACAGCTTTGGTAATGTACAAATTCACATTCTTGCTTTACTTTTGAGTTAGGCACTGGATGTGAGAGAGAGGGAGAGGTTTGATTTCACTTGCATCAGTCTTTTACTGGCATATTTTCACTGACACTAATGCAGTTACACCAACATAAAATTGGAGTAACTCTAACTGCATTAAAATCAATGGAATTACACCGATATGAGACAAATGTTACTCCATTGATTTTATGATGGTATGACTCTATTGATTGTAGTGGAGTTAAGCCAGTTTAATACTTTTGTAAGTGAGATCACAGTGAGCTGCTACATCTGTGTAACGTATGTACGGCTTGTGTGGTTTTGTTTGAATGTTTCTTGTTTTTCTGGAAACAAAAATGTAAATTTTTTTGAGTTCTTCCAGATGTATTAAGGAATTGAAGTAATATAACTGACATGAAAATGCATTCAGATCATTCAGTTCCACCGTGAATGTAGTAAAATTCTGCCCAAATCTGTGGGATTCCCTAGGTTGTTTGGCAACCTATCTTTTTATGCCCTCTCCACTCTAATAGGGAGGATGTTGAGTTTTTTCTTTTTCTTTTCAGCGTGT